TTCACTCCTCTTTATCAGTGTCCTAAGAAAGAATTATGTAAATTTATTGAAAACTGGTTGAGCAAGAGTGTAGATATAAAAATCAAAGCTCAAATACACTCTTTCTAACAAAACATGGTGCATTATGTGCTAACCTGATGTAAACAACCCACATGAAAACCATGTCAGCACCTTTATTAAATATAGCCACACATTTCATGAACAAATGGTGATCAATGAAAATATGAGAAGAACAAAATTTGAAAACCTACCAAATAAATCTTGGAGATTTGGTTCCCTGAGGTAAAACGGGAGTCCCCATAGAGCCATGTTGTGTCTGTGATGGGGTGTCTGTTGTCTGTAGGAGGGGGAAAAAATTATCATTTACTTCTGTATGATTCCTTACAGATCATAATTGAGTGTTAAGAATACTGAAAATGTATTAGGGATGGACAAAGGGTCAGAAATGGAGGAGTGCTTGGGGCAACAAATCCACAAAAACTGACTGTAAAAATCTTGAAAAATTGTAATGCTGGGACAAAAAAGTCATTAATTTATAAGAATAAAAACACCATGGGGACTCAAGTAGACAAAATAACTGTCAATGAAAGTGTATAGCCGCTACTTTCAAAGGGATTCATAAGCATAGGAATTATACTGGCTCGTTAAAATGGTTCAGGATAATTCTCATTTCACTTTCTTTTTTTTTTTGTCCACTGAATACAAACTCAGCTTGTTCAACAACAAAGTTTTGTTTGTGCACTGTAAGAATAAAACACAAAACACAGAAAAACAGATAACGTCTTGGCATTTTCCATTAAATTTACGGACATTTCCTTCAACCCTAAAACACTACCTCCAATGCGGAATTCAAAACACACGTGTAAAAAGAAAAAGAAAATACAGAAAATTGTCTTTAAGTTTTCCAAACTACAAACATTGTGAAAATCACACAGGTCACAGTTAAATGTAGTGTAAATGTAATGTTTTATCAGAATTTATGTGGACCCCAAGTAGTTGAGTTTTTAACCCACCTGGTTTACTGAAAGTCCAGACAGAATCAGGGTTCAGGCACAGCAGCAGATTTTGACTGGCGCCAGTGTGTTTCCAGCACCTACAATGAATTAAGTGTGCTCTTAGGATCTGTATAAGGAAATACACAAATGTGAATGATCAGGTTAATAAAATGCAAATTAATGCACAGACTTTAAAACGTTAGGCATCATACACTTACCAACTCTGTAAATAGTCACAGAAGAAACACTGGCCATTACTAAACAACTGAAGATCACAAACTACAAGAAGTTCCGATCAGCAGAAACATGCGCCTTGTTGCTAGGAGACGCGTGACAAATGAAAACAATGTGTTCTAAAATCGGCTCAAAATATCAAACATGTTTGATCCCCTCCGACTGGATGGAATCAGAGTCTGAAGCTAAAAAAAATCGTCTGTGACCATCATAAACCAGGGGTGTCCAAACTTTTCCTAAAGAGGGCCGGATTCGACGATGTGGAAACACTGGGGGGCCGGATGCTTCTACCTATATATATATATATATATATATATAT